GAGTGCAAGCTCGGGCCCACGGATCAAAACAGTCAAGGAGCGGGGAAGGCCATGCCGTACTTGGGGGGCTTGCCTTCAGCCAGCCGCTCAAGATTGCGCCTGCCAGTGGCGGACAGCATCTGTGTGCCTGTCTCAGGAGACGCGGGTGGACAAGGCTTGGCCAACTTCTGAACAGTGTTGGCAGCAAAGTACCCGCAGCAACGACAGTACAATATTCCTTTGAATTCAGCCAGGACGTGCGTCGGGTGCGCACGCGGGAAACATGGATGTCCGTTCGGGTTGCCCTGGGACGCGGGGCCAGGGGAAGTCGAAGGGTCCAACCTGCCAGACGACGAGGACCCCAACACCAGCGCACCAGGACACTGACCAGGCCAGAATTTGGCCAGCTCCCCTCGGACAGCAGGAAATCTACAGAGACACCGAGAGCACTTAAAGGATCCAGCTACTTTACACACATCATGGCCCTGCTCACGCAATCTCGCTCTACGGAGGTTGCTCGAACAAGGTCCTCGCTCTTTGTGGTGCTCCCTACCTAGACGATCCTCGCGAGTCCTCGGGCACATGAGCGAAACGTGCCTGGAGACAGCGAGGAGTCGTTTAACAACACGTAAACAATTTTCATCTACATTAGAAATTTCCCTGACCTTTTCAGCAGGGAGGGCCCCCCACTTGGCAGCTTCCCCCGCAAAGTGATCGGCAACGCCATTGGCGACTAATCCCTGGGGGGTCAGGCGGTGGGCGGAAACCTGCTTGAAGGTGGGGTGGCTCTTGCACCAGTGGACCTCCAGCTGGCCATCTCTGTCGCCAAGCTGGTCCCAGACCTGCTGCCACAGGTCCAGCATGCACGAGTGATCAACTTCAACGTCCTTCCGAGCAAACGCGCGTGCAATCGGCAGAAAGTCGGTGTACAGCACCGTGTCACCGACAACTAATCGCAACAGCTGGAGCACGGCATAAAGTTCCGCACGGGGAGAGCTTTGCTCAACACCAGGAAGGGTTCCACACAACACGCCAGCCACCTGGAGGGTCCCTGGTTGAAGGTGAACAACAGACCACCCGCATCTCCTCAACCTCCAATCCTTCGTATGATCTCCTCCAGAAGCGTCGCTCCCGAATATTCCCCCATGAATCGGAACACCTTCACGAAGCGCCTCATGAAAAGATCCCCAGGCCCAAACTTTAGTTTCCACGGGAGGCAACACTCCAACCGTCCAGCCTAGGGGAACCAGACCACGAGTCCAGAAACACTCCGATTCAGGCACTCCAGCGAGGGAATCTTGATACATATGGTTAGTGAGGTGTATGTGGTCATCATCAATGTTCGCATTATCTTGACAGCCCCAGTATCTGTGCCAAGGTGTTTCCTGGCGAACTCCACAACGAGGGCATACACCATTGCTGAGATAGCCGCTGTCCTTGAGGCGCTGCTCTGGCCACTGGCCGCCAGAGGCGAGGTGATTCAAAATAGCAACACCGTCAAAATCGCCTTGCCGAGAGAGCGATCTCCGCAGCTTACGCAACACAGTAAAATCAACACCTTCATGCAGACCCTGTCCCCCGTAAGCTTCAGAGGCTTGGACCCAAAGCATACTGCCCACTTGTTTTTCAACCGTCTTCCACAAAAAATACGGAAAATCACGTCGATCAACATGGAGGGTGACACCAGGGAATCTCCACGTACAGGGCTCCAGAGGGTTCCCATTGAGCTCCAAGATACACATGATGACAGACGCGATGGGGCCCCGCACATGACGCCAACGGTGAACAGGTGGAACACTTCGCAGCTTAGCTAACAATTTGGGCCATACTTTGTTCACACTACAGACCTGGCTAGGGTCGAGGACACGGTAAGTTCGGCTCCATCCCAAAAGATGTTCATAACGAATCTTATACGCTGGGTCATCAGACATAGCATGACCAAGAGCAAGGAGGGTAGTGGTACAACAGCCAGCATGCCATCGCCCTGTCGCTTTAGCTGCCTGGGCACGCAGTGAACGCATGCGCGAGGGCGGGGTGCCAAGGACTTGATGGCTCCATGTGCCAACTGCAACCACACCTGGCTTAAACAACTTGCGAGCACGACGATTAACATGGGACAGGAACGTGAGCCTCTTACTGCGAAGCCTAGCTTCTTCCTTGCGCTGAGTCATTTTCCACATCGTCCTCCTCCTCCCAGCCGTGGCCCCAACTCCCAAGTCCTTCACAGAATCAACAACTTTAAGCGGAACGTTCAGCTCATCACAGAGAGCCTGAAAAGGGCGACCAACTTGCCGAGAAGAGGCGACGACGCACGACTTCGACGAGATCTTACACCCACGACGTTTCAATACATCACAAAGTTCTCGCGCAGCTGGCACCAGTTTGGTAATGATGTCCTGCACGGAGCCTTGGATGCACTTGGTAAGGTCGTCCACATACGCCGAAATCGGGACTCGAGGGACACGACAATGTGCCGCCTCCAAGATGTCATAGAGATAACATTTGATCCATGGCAGGGACTGGGAACATCCAGCTAAATGGACTGGCCTGCCTGCATAACACCCGACACCAGGGACTGGACCTCGAGGAGCCTGGGGGAGGTGTGGATCAGGAGGCCCAGGTAGAGGAGCAAGGAGGAGTAGTCGACAGCCTGAGCCAAGCCGATGAGCTTACTTGGGTCGATGGTGTCAAAAAACTTCTCCATATCCCAGTGGCCAGAAACAGAAAAAAAACCCTCCACCCGAGCACACTCGTGCAAAACTTCACGGAGCATGGCGGCACGCAAGGCCGACGATTTCTTCACAGCCGCATCCCAGAAGGCGACGTGGGAATCGGTCCAGTCCTGGATTTTGTCCCCGCGGATTCGGGTATACAGTCGGTAGAGGGTGGGGCACTTAGTGATGGGTCTTTCAGACGTCGACGTTTTGGGCAGGAGGGTGACCAGACAAAGATAGACCTGCTGGGGGAACTCAAGGGCATACTCGATGCCATTAAAAATGGTGGCCAAGTGATCCAGGGCTTCACCGGGAAGCCGCATCAAATCACGAGGGGACCACCCGTCCACGCCGAGGGCCGTGTCGGCCGAGAAACACTTGCAAGCCGAGAGCACGTCTTGGCCCTCGATGCCGCGAGCCTCAAGCGCCTCCAGCTCAGCGACAGGTCTGAGGCGCCGCATAGCGTACTCAAGATCACCGACTTGCCTACCCGTCGGCGTCCACCAGGACGCCCAAAACTGCTCGCGATATCTCATCAGCTCTTGGGGGGTTTGGGCAACGAAAGTGGGAGTAACAAACATCTCAACCTCCTTCTTGGCATCAGAACGTAACCAACGGTGCACCACTTTCGCTCCCCCCGCGAGTCCCTTAGCGAGCCAGGCCTGGATGCCGAGGCGATTAGCTTTCCGAGCCGCAGTCCAGGCGCGACGAAGGACGGGGGCGAGAGCTCCTTGGATGACTTCAAGCTTCCGAGGGTCGCCTGGGATGTCTTGCAACCACCCTGTCCATGCAGCATCTTGCCGTGCATCGGCAAGGCCTTCAAGGTGTAGACCCACCTCATCACCGCGCGCTCGGAGGAGAGTCCTGAGAGCGGTGACCTGGGTGGTGCCTCCTCTCTTCAAGGCGACAGCAAAATCGTACAGGCGGGGCGATATCAGCGTCCAAAAAGCCAGGCAGGGGTGGGAAAAACCTTGTTTCATCACTCCTCGTTTGGGAAGGGTCCGCTCCTGCACAACTACTGCTCTGCCCCTGCGCCCTCCCGGCGACGGCCAGGTGGAGAGGGGGCGGGAGCAAAACGGCATTTCCGCAGCAGTAGACCACTTTTGATAGGATTCCGAGAGTCCTTGCGAGTGTAGGGGCCAGTGAAACTCGAGAAAAGCTCCACGGACTTCGCGAGGTATCTCCACAACTTGGTCACCAGCACGGTGGACAAAATCACTCCAACGCTGATCAGGCCCAGGGTGGGCCCCGATTGGGACAGGTCGATCTCGTTTCATCGCGGTGTCACGGAGAACCTCGAGCGACATCTGCACATGCAAGCAGGCGTGTGTCTTAAAAGCGGAGCTCCAATCCGCATCAATCGTCAGGTATGGGCGGATGTCCCGCGAAACGACAGCATAATCGATCAGGCGGCCAGTGCCTTTGTCACAGGTAAAGTCAGTATTGCGGGGGTCCACCGTGACGCCAGAGACAACCTCACAGAAACCACACTGGTGCAACTCGAGGGGCTCCATGTTGAAATCTCCCAAGAGGATCCACGGGCACTCAAGCATCCCCAGGAACTCAACCACTTCATGGAGACGGTCGAGGTTCATACCTGAAGCTCCAATCCCAGAGACGAGATAGATAACTCCCAGAGCGAGCGTACAATGCTGTGTCTTCATTTCCAGGAAAAACCAACTCTGCCCCTGGCCCACGTTCTCGACCCCAGCGGGGAGACTACGTAGGAATTTCTTGCAGTAGACCGCCTTCTGCACGACAGCGCCGACACCACCATGCCATCCTCCGCCAGGCGAGGGAAGGGCTGCTTGGAAGTGCGGGCGCCATCCCATAGATGAGCAGTCTCTCTTGGCGGCTTGTAGCTTGTCGGGTCCCTGATGGTGCTCGGCAAAGAGGTAAACGTCGACATCCTCAACAGCTCTGGCAAGTTCAGACTTGGCCAGTTCAGACCAGCTGGAAACGTTGCAGAACTTGACATCGATAGTCGAACGCGCGTCGACCCTCTGCCGTCGCTGCCCCAGGGACTCGTCAAACCAACGACGCGCCTTGCACAACTTGGGGGGGCTGCCAGGTGGGCAAAAGCGTTGACCCACATATCATTAGCATAAGTAGCCACCTTGAGCTTCTTATGCGCCTGCGCATGAATTTTTTTGACCAGGAGGGTCTCCAACCTCTCGAGGTCCTCAGGCTTACATTGCTCCGCTGAACGCTTGCGAAGCTCAGAAAGCTCCTGCCGATCAGCCTCACCAAGAAGATCGTCATCATCATCGACAGGAACAGCCTTATGTTCACCACCATCCTCGCCACTTGCACCGCCCATAGCAGCATCTGCACCCTCGTCAGCGCCAGCCTCACCAGGGGCAGACGACGCAGACGCCGAGGAGCCAGGAGAGACCGAACTGAGGACATTGTGAGCGGCAAGCTGGGCGGTGCGCAGGTTGCACCACTCGCTGAAGGGGACCTTGGTGCTGTCGGCGAGCTTCCGAAGGTCATCATCTCCCAGGGTATGTAGTTTACCAAGTACTTCACGAGCATCTGCAGGTGCAGGGCCTGCTCCAGACACGCCATGAGCGCCTCCAGGTTCTCCACCAGGTGGGCCATCTGCACCAGCGGGAGGGGGCCGCGCAGCAGCATGAGCGGCCGCCGCAGCCTCCATCTTCTGCTTCTTGAACGCGGCCTCGTCAAACCTGTCCTTCTTATCCTTGGCGACGGTGTGGGCGGACTGGGCTTCCTCAAGGTGCGATGAGGCTTCGGCAAAGGCAGCCTCGGCCTGCTTGACCTTCTCACGGGCCTTGAGCAAAGCCTCCTGACGCTCAGAGCGACTCTGCCAGGCCAAGCGCTCAGCCTTGGCAGCCTCCTCCACGCCCTTCGCCAAGGCAGTCCGCTCTCCAGCCACCGCTGCGTCCAGCTGCGCATCGGACGGGACGTTCGGCGGTGGTGGAGGCGGCAGGTGGTTCGCAAGCACATCTCGTAGGCCAGGAAATTGAGCGACAGCAGCACTTGCTTGTCCTGACAGGTCGAGAGGACACTGTGAGTCGACCGCCGCACTCGACTCACCCGTAGTCTTATTGCGCATGACATACGATCCGCTGCACCGGCTGCACGCAGCGTGACCATGGTAGAGGTACTCCCAGTGCCCGCACTTGCTGCAGACAGCGTAGGGTGAGGCATCACCATCACGGCGACGCTTGTGGCCACGGCGACCAGCATCACGGCGCTGCTGATCACCTTGCGCACGCCAGGGAGGGGTACGCTCAGCAGTAGTCCACGTCCACGGCATGGCATGCACGCTCCGGCAGGAGCTCACAGCGCGGAAGGGGGGTACCGAGCACCAGGTGCCGTTGGGCCGCCAGGAGCCCCTGCGGTACTGGCTGAAAGAAAGACTGTCGAGCGCAAGCGCTCTGGCACTGCCGCGGACTAGCGGTATCCACTTGTTCCACGGTGGAACTCAAAGCCTTGAGCCAAAATGGCTACGGGGAGGAGGACGAGGAGGAGGAGGAGGAGGAGGAGGAGGAGGAGGAGGAGGAGGAGGAGGAGGAGGAGGAGGAGGAGGAGGAGGAGGGAGGAGGAGGAGGAGGAGGGGAGGAGGAGGAGGAGGAGGAGGAGGAGGGAGGAGGAGGAGGAGGAGGGAGGAGGAGGAGGAGGAGGAGGAGAGGAGGAGGAGGAGGAGGAGGAGGAGGAGGAGGAGGAGGAGGAGGAGAGGAGGAGGAGGGGAGGAGGAGGAGGAGGAGGAGGAGGAGGAGAGGAGGAGGAGGAGGAGGGAGGAGGAGGAGGAGGAGGAGGAGGTGAGGAGGAGGAGGAGGAGGAGGAGGAGGAGCAGCAGGAGGAGGAGGAGGATGAGGAGGAGGTAGGAGGAGGAGGAGGAGGAAGAGGAGGAACGAGGACGAGGCCAAGGGAGGAGGAGGAGGTAGAAGGAGGGGGGAGGAAGATGAGGAGGAGGAGGAGGGGAGGAGGAGGAGAGGTAGGAGGAGGAGGAGGGAGGAGGAGGAGAGGGAGGAGGAGGAGGACGAAGCCGAGGAGGAGGGGAGGAGGAGGAGGAGGAGGAGGAGGAGGAGGGAGGAGGAACGAGGACGAGCCGGGGGATGAGGAGGGAGGTAGAAGGAGGAGGGGGAGGAAAGAGGAGGAGGAGGAGGAGGAGGAGAGGAGGAGGGAGGAGGAGGAGGACGGAAAGGAGGAGGAGGAGGAGGGGATGGAGGAGAGAAGGAGGATGGAAGAGAAGAGGGAGGGGAGGAGGCGGAGGAGGCGGAGGTAAGAGGAGGAGGAGGAGGAGGAGGAGGAGGAGGAGGAGTAGGCAGGGGAGGCGGAAGCGGAGGCGGATGCGGAGGCGGAGGCGGAGGAGGGGGCAGGAGGAGGAGGAGGAGGAGGAGGAGGAGGAGGCGGAGGAGGCGGAGGCGGAGGCGGAGGCGGAGGAGGAGGAGGAAGAGGAGGAGGAAGAGGAGGAGGGGGAGGAGGAGGGGGCGGAGGAGGAGGGGGAGGAGAAAGAGGAGAAGGAGGAGGAGGAGGAGGAGGAGGAGGAGGAGGAGGAGCGAGGGGTGACGTAACAAGCTCTCAACGCCAAGGCTCCCAGTACGAACGGCGGTGTGAGTACCTTCGGTGAATGTGTTTGAGGCGCTCTTTCCGTTTCCGTGCTGGCCCAGGTGACGGAAAGAGCGAGGTACGAGCGAGTGACGTTGAGTAGGGGGCGAAGCCCTCAATGGGGGGGTCCAGGGGGGGTGCGAGGCGCAGACGCCTGGTGACGGAAAGCGCGCGTTAGCGTGCGGTCCGTTAGTCGGAAGAAATTGGACTTGGGGGAGTTCGAGGGGGTTGGCATCACCGGAGCCGGATCTAATTGCCCTCCCGCCTTGTTTTTTATCGAGTAGGACTCTTCGGGGCTTAAAATCAGCGTTTCGCTCGAGACATCCTCGGAAAACGCTTCTTGGGCGCTCCCTGGGCCGTCTTAGACGCCTAATTGCCCTGCCGCCTAGTTTTTTGTATCGAGTAGGGCGGCCTTCGGGGCTTAAAAACAGCGTTTCGCTCGAGACATCATCGGAAAACGCTTCTTGGGCGCTTCTTGGGCCGTCTTAGGCGCCTAAGACAGCCCAAGAAGCGGCCAAGACGGCGCCCAAGACGGCCCAAGACGGCCCAAGACGGCCCAAGAGCGCTCCAAGAGAGCCCAAGACCGCCCAAGGCGGCCCCAAGACGTCCCAAGAGGCCTCCACGACGCCCCAGGAGGCGCCCACGAGGCGTCCCAAGAGGGCCCCAAGAGGCCAAAATCATTGATTTTCTTAAGGAAAACGTGCATTTTTAGCATATACGGCTTTTCGCTTTTCATGGCGTTGAAGACGGTCCAAGAGGCCCCCAAGACCGCCCCAAGACGGCCCAAGATGTTCCCAAGAGGCCCCCCAAATAGCCCAAGAGGGCGCCAAGACGGGCCAAAAGGCGTCCAAGACTGTCCAAGAGGCCCCCAAGAGCGCCCCAAGGAGGCCCAAGAGGCCCCCAAGAAGGCCCCAAAACGGCCCAAGAGGGCGCCAAGACGGCCCAAGAGGCGCCAAGACGGCCCAAAAGACGGCCCCAGGACGGCCCCAAGACGGCCCAAGATATTCCCAAGAGGCCCCCCAAATAGCCCAAGAGGGCGCCAAGACGGGCCAAGAGGCGCCCAAGACTGTCCAAGAGGCCCCCAAGAGCGCCCCAAGAAGGCCCAAGAGGCCCCCAAGAAGGCCCCAAAACGGCCCAAGAGGGCGTCAAGACGGCCCAAGAGGCGCCAAGACGGCCCAAGACGGCCCCAGGACGGCCCCAAGACGGCCCAAGATGTTCCCAAGAGGCCCCCCAAATAGCCCAAGAGGGCGCCAAGACGGGCCAAGAGGCGTCCAAGACTCTCCAAGAGGCCCCCAAGAGCGCCCCAAGAAGGCCCCAGAGGCCCCCAAGAAGGCCCCAAAACGGCCCAAGAGTGCGCCAAGACGGCCCAAGAGGCGCCAAGACGTCCCAAGACGGCCCCAGGACGGCCCCAAGAATGCCCCAAGAGGCCCCCAAGAGAGCCCAAAGACGGCCAAAGGCAGCCTAGTCCCTTCACCCCCGCAGCCCAGAAGCTCCCAGGAGGCCCCAAGAGGCCCCCGAAAAGCCCCAAAAGGTCCCCAAGAGGCAGCACAGAGGCTCCCCAAGAGCCCCCCACGAGGCCCAAAATACTCCCAAAGGCTCTTAGCACCGCGGCTCCCAAGAGCGAGCGGTGACGTAATCGAGCTGATAAGACCGAAGCTCCCAACAGAGAGCTGCGGCGTAATAAGTTCTTGACGCCAGGGCACAGGGACGGGCGGCAACGCGTGGACAACGAGCGGTCCACGCAAGGAAAACGCGGGGTTCTGGAAAGCTGGCAGCCCAAACGCGGAAAACGCAACGCGACCCGACCGCCCCCTCCAAAACAAGAAACGCGCTCAAAGAAAGCTCCGCGACTCTCCGAGGCTGAGATAGGACAAGAGCGAGGGGAAGGGAGTCAATATGAGGTGTAAGAGCGGACGATCCAGCGATCTCGTGCGCTCTGAAAGTAAGTGCGCTTTCCGTCCCCGTGCCAAGCAGGTCTAATAGCCCGTTTCCCTCGTATTTTTTCAAGTGAAGCGGCTCCTGGGAGGCTCCCATGGCCCGTTTCTGCCCCAGACGGTCCCAAGACGGCCCCGGAGGCGTCCCAAACGGCCCCAAAACGGTCCAGGAGGGCCCCCAGACGGGCCCAAGACGGCCTACGAGGCCCCAAAGATCATCCCAAGACGGCCCCAGAGGCGCCCCAAAGGGGCCCAAAACGGCCCAAGATGGCCCCCAGACGGCCCGAATACGGCCAAGAGGTCCGCGAGGGCCCTAAGAGAGCCCAAGAGGGCCGCAATAGGCTTCCGAGCGCGCCGAAAGAGGAGGAGGGGGAGGAGGAGGGGGAGGGGGAGGAGGAGGAGGAGGAGGAGGGGGAAGAGGAGGAGGAGGAGGAGGAGGAGAGGAGGAGGAGGAGGAGGAGGAGGAGGAAGAGGAGGAACGAGGACGAGGCCAAGGGAGGAGGAGGGAGGGTAGAAGAGGAGGGGAGGAACAGGAGGAGGAGGAGGAGCAGGAAGAGGAGGAGAAAGAGGAGGAGGAGGAGGAGGAGGACGAGGCCAAGGGAGGAGGATGGATGTAGAAGGAGGAGGAGTAGGAGGAGGAGGACGATGCCAAGGGAGGAGGAGGGAGGTAGAAGGAGGAGGGGGAGGAAGAGGAGGAGGAGGAGGAGGAGGAGGAGGAGGCGGAGGAGGAACGAGGGGTGGCAGTACGAACTGTGGTGTGAGTAATTTCGGTTAATGTGTTTGAGGCGCTTTTTCCGTTTCCGTGCCGGCCCAGGTCTAATAGCCAGTTGTCCTCGTATTCGCTTGGGTGGAACGACTCCTGGGCGGCTCCCATGGCCCGCTTCCTCGTTTTTGTTACGTGAAGCGGACCCAGGGCTTCAAGACGGCCCAAGAGGGCCCCAGAAGGGTTTCAGAGGGCACCCAGACGGCCCCCAAAGAGCTTCAGATGGCCTCCAGACGGTCCAAGAGAGCTTCCAGACGGCTCCAGAGGCCCTAAGAAGGGCCCTGAGAGGGCTTCAGGAGGCCAAACACATTGTTTGTCCTTGGGTTCTTCAAGGTCTTTCGGGTTCTCGCTGTTTCGGGCCCAGGCGGGCCCAAGACGGCCCCAAGAGGCCCCAAAGATCGTCCCAAGACGGCCCCAGAGGCCCCCCAGAGGGGCCCAAAACTATGCAAGGGGGCCGCCAGGCGGCCTCCCCAAGCGGCCCACAAGAGGGCCCCGAGAGGGCCCCGAGAGAGCCCCACGAGGGCCCCCAAGAGGCTCCCCAAGAAGGCCCGAAGAGGCGGTGCGGGAACTGGCTGCGTGGGTGTGGGGACAGGGCTGGCCCCTAAGACGGCCCAAGGGTTCCAAAACGGCCCAAAAGGCCCCCCGAAGACTCCCATGGAGCCGAGGAGAGGCCAAGGAGCACCGTGGCTCTCAACAACGGGCGGTGACGTAACAAGCTCTGAACACCAAGGTTCCCCAGAGCGCGGTGACGTAAAAAGCTTTTAACAGCAAGGCACCCAAGAGCGAGCGGCAACCTAAGAGTCTCTGAACACCAGGGCTCTCAACAGAGAGCGGTGACGCAACAAGCTCTTCACACCAAGGCTCCCAAGGGCGAAGGGTGCCAAGAGCCATCTCGGACAAGTTCCTGTAGCGTTCTTTCCGTTCCCGTGCCGGCCCAAGTGACGGAAAGAGCGGGGTACGAGTGATGTACGTTACTTGGTGGGGCGGAGCCCTAAAGGGAGGGGTCCAGGGGGGGGGCGAGGCGTACCCGGATGAGTGATAATTGTCAGCTTCCTTGTATTTTTCAAGTGAAGCGGCTCCTGGGCGGCTCCCATGGCCTGTTTCTTCGTATTTCTTTTGACGCGGCTGAAAGGGCCCCAAGAGGGCCCCAAAACGGCCCAAGAGGGCCCCAAGACGGCCCCAAGAGAGCTTCAGATGGCCTCCAGACGGTCCAAGAGAGTTTCGAGACGGCTCCAGAGGCCCTCCAGAGGGCCCCCAAGAGGGCCTCAGGAGGCAGACAAAAATTGATGTTCCATTAGTTTTTGCATGTTTTTCGGGTTCTCCCCTTTTCGGGTCCGGAAGGGCGCCAGACGGCCCAAGCGGCCCCAGAGATCGTCCGAAGACGACCCTAGAGGCCCCCCAGAGGTGCCGAAAACGGTCCAGGAGGGCCCCCCGACGGGCCCAAGAGGGGCTCAAAACTGCCCAAGAGGGTCCCAAGACGGCCCCAAGAGAGCTTCAGATGGCCTCCAGACGGTCCAAGAGAGTCTCGAGACGGCTCCAGAGGCCCTCCAGAGGGCCCCCAAGAGGGCCTCAGGAGGCAAACAAAAATTGATGTTCCATTGGTTTTACATGTTTTTCGGGTTCTCCCCTTTTCGGGTCCGGAAGGGCGCCAGACGGCCCAAGCGGCCACAAAGATCGTCCGACGCCGATCTCAGAGGCCCCCCAGAGGGGCCGAAAACGGTCCAAGAGGGCCCCCCGACGGGCCCAAGAGGGGCCTAAAACGGCAAGACGGCCCAAGAGGGCACCAAGACCTCCCCAGGAGGTCTGAAGAGGGCCAAGCAGGCTCCCAAGAGGCCCCCACGAGGCCCCTCCGCAGCAATTTTGGCTCAAGTCTTCCGCGGGGGCAGGCGGCGAACTTGCTCTCGCCCCCCCCCCTGGGGTGGCAAAGCGGTTCCAGCTCTGCCTGAAGCACCGTGGCCGTGCTGGGAATGTCTGATTCGGCGGACCCCGCACAAGACTCTCTTCACCTGACAACAATTGACTTGGATCGACATCAGAGGGCGACCAGTGCCAGATTATGGACCTGGTTCGGGTCGCCGGTCTCGGTCATACCCTTGCACGCAGAGCAAGTCTCAAGCTCAGACGGATCAGGCGACGATTCCTCGATTTATTCGCACGTGGGGACGCGCGTAGGCATACTTAACGGTTTTGACGTGTTCGGCGTATTCAAGGTCAACGTACTGGCGGAGTTGAACCTTTCTTCTCGCTTCAGCGTTTCTGGCCGATTATTTGTTTCAGCGTTGAGCAGCATGAGTTCAGCATCCTTCCTGATCCATGGACTGCTAGTTCCGCAGCGCGGGAACCTGGTGAGGCATTTTTTATCCCGCGGCACGTTTTTCCATGAAATCAAGCCTGAATTGCTGGAGATATTTCAGAATTGGGCTGCGGCGTTCCTTTACTTCGCGCTTGGCGTGATTCTCCCCAACATGGCGAGACGTAGCAACGTTCACTTGGAGCGGACGCTCAGCGTTGCGTACCGCTACAATCTGAATATGAGGTTCGGCAGTGCACACATGTTTTTCTCGTATGTATTGTGGCCCGTTACTTTTCTATCGGGTATGTTTGCGCCAGTGCTAGTTTGGTTACAGATTGACATTTGGGGGTTGCTCAGCGTCTTCACTTGGTCCATCGGCATGCTCTTCATTGGACCTTCCATGGTGGAAGAAGTCGGCACTGTAGCCGTGCGTGAAGTTGTCGCTGGGGTCGTTAAGGAGGTGGAAGACATGCGTACCCAGCCAATCTCTTGGCAAAGGCTGCTGGACTTAGTGAAGGCGACAGATTTTCTGTTGGCGGACACCTTCGATTGGAATTGTCTCGGACGATTGATCATATTTCGCATCTCCATGCTCTTCTTGCTCACAGTGGGATTCGGCTTTATTGGAATCGTCCACCCAGACGAAGCTTCGAGAAAGTGCGCACAGGTTCTTGGTATCCTGTCAGCTATTTGCGGCTGTGCTATTCTATACCGTTTGGGACGCATCTCCGAGAAGTGTAGTAACAGCAGGCCTGGATCTAGTAATCTTACGGCAAATTTAGTTCTCAGAATGGTGGAACATGAATTGAAGCATGATTCGGAAGAGAGCGCTTTCCATCAACTGTCGTTTTATCTCAGAAAGCGGACGATTGGCATAGAGCTGGTGGGCACGCGAATAACACCTGAGTTTGCAGCAAACGTCGCATTGCGAACTTGCTTCTACCTGCCAGCCGCAGTAGCTGTCATTGAAGGCATATGGTACACAGGTGATACCACCATGAAGGGCGACAGCAGGGACACCAGCGAAATTCGGTGCTTGATCTGACGCGCTCGCTGTCGGCTCGAGCTTCCTGGTCAAGTGGCGCAGGAAAAGCATCTGGCTGCGTGTGGCGGGTGCCGCCACTGTGCCGGTGCAGCCCTTCCGCGTGGCGGCGCCTCGGGTGCCGCCCAGGAGGCCGCAGCGTGTGACGTTGTTGGTTCATCGAGTGGCCTCCAGCCCACCCCGCCACCGTGCCTGGGATCATTCCTTCTTCTTCTCTCTCTCTCTCTCTGTCTCTCTCCCTCTTGGTTTCCCCTGCCTCCCTTCCCCTGCCGTCGGCCGCGCCCTTCCCGGCTCGGCCCCTGGTGCCGTGCTGGTGCTCTCCTCTGCCAGTCGCCCGGTCGCCGATGTCTTGCAGCCAACTCTTCCTCGAGCTCTGAGCTGCTCGAGGGCCAGGCGAGAGCACCGGGCCAGCGCACCAGGCGAGCGCTTACAGCCAAGCTCGGGGGCGGAAAAGAGTGGGGTGATGACTAGGGGGGGTGGATATCATGGCGGGGGACATGATGTTTCCCCAGATTTCAGGGCGCCTCTTCTTATTTCATTACGTTCCCGGCCCCCCGCTGGGCCGCGCACATGCCGCCGGCCATGATTTGCACCCCGCCCCTCTTGGACACCCCCCTCTTATCTTGGCCGCCCCCGACAAGCACCACTTTCGCGGTCACGACGACGCTCTCGCTGTCGTTCGTGACGCTGTGAACTGCTGTGCTGCTCAAGTCCTTGGCCGCACTCTGGCAAGCAAGAGGAAAGAGGCTTCCAGACGTCCAAAGGAGTGGAAATCGGTCCAAGAGGTCCCCCAGACGTCCCAAGAGGGCCCCAAAACGGCCCAAGAGGGCCCCAAGACGGCCCAAGAGGGCCCCACGACGGCTCCAAGAGAGCCCCAAGAATGCCCAAAGAGGCCCCCAAGAGGCCCCCAAGAGATCCCCAAGACGGCCAAAGGCTTCCAAGACGCCCGCAGACGGCCCAAAAGGGCCCCAAGACGGCCAAGAATCGCTTCAAAAGGGCTCCAAAAGGGCTCCACACGAGCCCCCAGAAGACCCCCAAAAGCCCAAGAGACCCTCAATAACTAACACCATGGCTCCCATCAGCGAGCGGGGACGTAACAAGCTCTTGACACCAAGGCTCCCCAGAGCGCGGTGATGCAAAAAGCTTTTAACAGCAAGACTCCCACGAGCGAGCGGCAACGTAAAAGTCTATGAACACCAGGACTCCCAACGGAGACGGCGACGTAACAAGCTCTTCACACCAAGGCTCCCAAGAGCGAAGGGTACCATGAGCCCTCTCGGGCGAGTTCCTGAGGCGCTCTGTCCGTTTCCGTGCCGGCCCAAGTGACGGAAAGAGCGAGGCACGAGTGATGTATGTTATTTGGTGGGGCGAAGGAGGGGTTCCAGGGGAGGGGCGAGGCGCGCGGGGAAAGGATGTAATGGCCAGCTTTCCTCGCATTTGTTAGAGTGAAGCGGCTCCCGGGCGACTCCCATGGCCAGTTTCCCTGTATTTTTCCAGCGAAGCGGCTGAAGGGCCCCAAGACGGTTCAAGAGGGCCCCAATGCGGCCCAAGAGGGCACCAAGACGGCCCCAAGAGAGCTTCAAGTGGCTTCCAGAGGCCCTCCAGAGGGCCCCCGAGAGGGCCTGAGGAGGCCAAAAGTATTGATTTTCCGTTGGTTTTTGCAGGTTTTGGGGGCTCTCGCTTTTTGGAACCAAGAACGGCTCAAAACGAGCCAAGCGGCCCCAAAGATCGTCCGAGGACGGCCCAAGAGGCGCCCGAAAGGGCCCGAAATCGGTCCAGGAGGGCCCCAAGATTGCCCCAAGAGGGCCCCAATACGGCCCCAAGAGGCTCCGAAGACGGGTCCAAAGAGTCTCCCAAGAGAGGCCCAGGGCCCCAAGAGGCCCCCAAGAGAGCACCAAGACGGCCAAAGGCTTCCAAGACGCCCCAAGACGGCGCAAAAACCGGCCCAAAGTTGCTCCCAAAGGGCCTCCAAAGGCTTCCAAAAGGGCACCCAAGAGCGAGCGGCAACGTACAAATCTCTGAACACCAGGGCTCGCAACAGAGAGCGATGACGCAACAAGCTCTTAACGTCAAGGCTCCCAAGAGCGCAGGGTGCCACGAGCCATCTTGGACGAGTTCCTGACGGAAAGAGCGAAGTACGAGTGATGTGCGTTATTTAGTGGGGCGAAGCCCTCTAGGGAGGGGCCCAGGGGAGGCGCGCACGTTTGGTTGGTAATGGCCGCCCAGGGACCGTTTCCCTTGTAATTTCTCAAGTGAAGCGGCTCGCGGGCGCCTTCCACGGCGCATATCCTCGCATTCTTTCTAGTGAAGCGGCTGAAGGGCCCCAAGGCGGCCCCAGAACGACTCCAGACGGTCCAAGAGACGACTCCAGAGTCCCTCCGGAGGGCCCTCGAAAAGGCCTCGGGAGCCCCAAAACATTAATTTCCCTTGGGTATTTGAAGGTTTTTCGGGTTCTCGCCTTTTCGGGCCCAGACGGGCCCAAGACGGGCCATAAGGTTTCAAAGATCGTCCCAAGACGGCCCCAGAGGCCACCCAAAGGAGTGGAAATCGGTCCAAGAGGTCCCCCAGACGTCCCAAGAGAGCCCCAAAACGGCCCAAGAGGGCCCCAAGACGGCCCAAGAGGGCTCCACGACGGCCCCAAGAGAGCCCCAAGAATGCCCAAAGAGGCCCCCAAGAGGGCCCCAAGAGGCCCCCAAGAGATCCCCAAGACGGCCAAAGGCTTCCAAGACGCCCCTAGAAGGCTCAAAAGGGCCCCAAGACGACCCAGAATTGCCCCGAAAGAGCTCCCGAAGGGCTTCAAAATGGCCCCAAGGGGACCCCATCGAGGCCCAAGAGAGGCTAAAGAATATCGCGGCTCCCATCAGCGAGCGGGGACGTAACAAGCTCTTGACACCAAGGCTCCCCAGAGCGCGGTGACGTACAAAGCTCTTCACACCAAGGCTCCCAAGAGCGCAGGGTGCCACGAGCCCTCTCGGGTCAGTTCCCGAGGCGCTCTTTCCGTTTCCGTGCGGGCCCAGGGTAACGGAGAGAGCGAGGTACGAGTGATGAACGTTTTGGTGGGGCGAAGCCCTCTAGGGAGGAGTGCAGAGGAGGGGGGAGCAGCGCGCACCCCGGATCTAACGGCCAGTTTCCCCCGTATTTCTTGGCATCGCTCGGACGTGTGCATGTTTCCTTCGGCGAGGACCATCGAGGAGCATCCTTGATGATTTGGCGAAAAAGCCACGCACGAAACCGAAACAAGCACAGGGAGTGGACGTCCGAGCGATGCCCAGATTTGTTCTAATGAAGCGGCTCCCGGGCGGCTCCCATGGTTCGTTTCTCCGTAGTGTTTCGAGTGACGCGGTCCAAGGGGTCCAAGACGGCCCAAGAGGGCCCCCAAAACAGCCCCACTGGGCCCCAAGACGGCCCCAGGAGCCTCAGATGGCCTCCAGACGGTCCAAGAGAGCCTCGAGACGGCTCCAACGGCTCTCCAGAGGCTCTCGAGACGGCACCCAGGGGCGAAAAACATTGATTGTTCGATGCTTTGTGCAGGTTTTTGGGGTTCTTGTTTTTTCTGGCCAAGAATTGTCCGACACGGCCCACCAAGAGGGTCCCAAGACAGCCCCAGAGGAGCCAAACGGTCCGAAAGGGCTCCAAGACGGCCCAAGAGAGCTCCAAGACGGCCCCAGGAGAGCCCCACGAGGACCCAACGAGGTGATCAAGAGGGTTCCAAGAGGCCCCCGAGAGAGCCCCTCGCCTCCAAGACGCCCCAAGACAGGCCCCCAAGACCGCCCCAAGACGGCCCAAGAGGCTCCCAAGAGGCTCCCAAAACGGCCCAAGAGGGCGCCAAGACGGTCCAAGGGCGCCCAAGACGGCCCAAGAGGGCCCCAAGACGGCCCCAAGAGGGGGACCACGAACCGAAAAGTCTAGCCTATCGCCCCAAGACGCCCCCAGGAGGCCCCCACAGCCCCCCAAGAAGCCCCAAGAGGCGTCCCGCGAGGTCATCAGGAGGCCCAAATGATATATCTTCTATGGGGAACCTTACATGTTTAGCATTCACGGCTTTTCGACTTTCACGGCGTTTTAGACGGTCCAAGAGCCCAAGACGGCCCACGAGGCTCCCAAATGGCACGCGAAACGGCCCAAGAGGGCGCCAAGACGGTCCAAGAGGCGCCCAAGACGGCCCAAGAGGGCCCCAAGACGGCCCCAAGAGGGGGACCACGAACCGAAAAGTCTAGCTTTTCGCCCCAAGACGCTCCCAGGAGGCCCCCACAGACCCCCAAGAAGCCCCAAGAGGCGTCCCGCGAGGTCCTCAGGAGGCCCCCAAGAGGCCACCAGAAGGGCCCCCAAAGGGCCCCAATAGGACCCCCACGACGGCCCAGAGACGCCAAATAGAGAGCGATCGGTAACGCAAAAAGCTCTTCACACCAAGGCTCCCAAGAGCGAACGGTGACGTAAACAAGCTGATCAGACCAAGGCTCCCAGCAGGGAGCGGTGACGTAACAAGTTCCTGACACCAAGGCCCAGCCAAGGCTCAGGAACGGGCGGCAACGCAACAATCTCTGAACACCAATGCTCCCAAAAGCGCGGGGTGACGTAACAAGCTTTCAACGCCAAGGCTCCCAGTACGAACGGTGGTGTGCGTCATTTCGGTTTCTGTTTCTGAAGCGCTCGTTCCGTTTCTGTGCCGGGCCCAGGTCTCATGGTTTTCGGCCCATCCCGCCACCGTGCTTGGGTTATCGGTCAGAGTTTTCAGGGGTGCTTCTTGGGGTCTCTTCGCGTCGCTTTCTGGGGTTTCTTGAGGACACTTTTGGGAACTCTTGGGGCGTCCTGGGGGCCTCTTGGGGGCCTCTTGGGGTCTCTCAGGGGCATCTTGGGAGCCTCTTGGGGCTTCCTGGGGGCCTCTCGGGGCCAATGGCTCAGAATGACCGTTCAGGTCCCCTAGCTGGGCTCCCTCTTGGAGGCGACTTGGGGGCCTCTTGGGCCGTCTTGGACGCCTCTTGGGCCGTCTTGGGCCGTCTTGGGCTGTATGGGGGCCCTCTTGGAGGCCTCTTGGGCCGTCTTGGAGCGATTTGGGGGGCCTCTTGGGCCGTCTTGGAGCGTCGGGTAGCCACAGAGGGGAGAACGCCCAAATCGTTCAAGAACATGAAAAACATGATCGACCCACGAACCCGGAAAGGAATATAGAAATGTAAGGCATGGCAACGTTTCAGAGGCACCTGATTGGGCGACGGGCAAATGCAATGCTGAATGTATCGATCTTGATGTACTGTGCCGATGGCTGTGCTGTGCTACGCCGTGCTGAACTGAGATGCGCCATGCAGCGATTGTGCTCTCTCTCTCTCTCTATATATGGCGTTGCGGATCGAATCCTCCCTGGCATCCGAATCCTGACCGAACTGATCTGGATCTTAAGCTCGAGCTGCTTGAGCAGATGGTAGTTGCCCCAAAACTAATCGACCAGGGGGGGCATGCCAGGAGGACGCGCCGCGGAACGTCCCAAGGGACGCGCCAGGCGACGTGCCAGGGACGTGGCATGGGGACGCACCGCGGGACGTGCCAAGGGGACGCGCTACGGAACGCGCCAATGGACGTGCACCGCGCGACGTGCCAGGGGGACTCGCCACGGGACGCTCCGCGGAACGTGCCAGGCAACATGCCAGGCTGCAATGCTAAGGGCATCGATATTGATGTACCGTGCCGAGGGCTGTTCTGTGCCTGGGCGACCTGGACACGTGAAAACAAGCGAATCTCTCGAGACATTCTCAACACATCCTCATGCTAGGCATCCGCCTGGGCAACCTGGACACGTGCAAACAAGCGTCTCGATCGAGACTTCCTCGACACATCCTCATGCTAGACATCCACCTGGGCGACCTGGACACGTGAAAACAAGCCTCTGGTTCGAGACATCCTCAACAAATCCTCATGCTAGACATCTGTCTGGGCCATCTGGAGGCGTGAAACCAAGCGTCTCGCTCGAGACATCCTCAAGACCTGGGCACGTGAAAACAAGCAATCCACTTGAGAGATCCTCAGAATTCAAGTCCCCAGGAGAGGACAATCTGTAACACAAAACAAGCGTTTCGCTCGAGACATCCTCAACAAATTCTGAAAACCCAGCGTTTCGCTCGAGACATCCTCAAAATCTTAATTCGCTGGCCCTAAGCGACCTCGTTATTTATCGCAAAATAATTTCGCCGGCCCAAGTCGCAGGGGGGCCGGGGGGTTAACCTACTAAAAGAGAACCCTGGGCCCGCGCCCTTTCCGGGAACAAACGATGTGTGTGTGTGTGAGTGTGTGTGTGTGTGTGTGTGTGTTGTGCCTCTTTGGGCCTTTTTTGGGGGCCTCTTGGAGGCCTCTTGGAGGGTCTTGAGAGCATCTTGGGCCGTCTTGAGGCCACCCTGGGTGTCTTCGACCGATCGCTCGGCGACTCGAGGCCTTCTTGGACCGTCTTGGGGGCCCCTTGCGGCCCTCTTCGCCGGTCTCGGGGCCCTCGCGGGCCCGAGCAGGTCACGCGACAGCGCGCCCCGGAGCCCAGGGGCCACGCGCCCAGCCCCGGAAGAGTTGGCCAGCTCGGGCCCGGGCCCGGTCAAACCTTCTGCAGGATTGAGGACTGAGGCTTGCGGGATTCGGCCGAGGCCCTGAGGACGCTCCAACTCGTGCCTCGAGGGCACGGCGGCGGATGGCGATGACCACACAGCCCGCAAACCGTGCCCGAGCCTGACCACGTCGCCGCTACTTTGCATTCGCTTCCTTCTGGCGTGGTGCACCGACGACGTCGGCGTGGAGAAAAGCGGCCCCACAAGGTCCCAAATAAGGCCCCAGGCCGAGAGACCGGCACGCCTCGGGGAGGGCATCTGCCCTGGACTCGGAGGCCAGCAATGTGGTCCTGAGAAGCGCAGCGCTGCTCCCGGGCAGGCTTTGCTGCTCGGCGAAGGGCGGAGAGAGGAGGTGAGAAGCAGGTAGACAACGACGAGCGCGCAGGCTGGAGGCCGTGGCCAGCGGGGCGGGCGGGCAGGCGGAGACAGCAGGCAGGGGGCAGGAGAAGGGAAGGAGGCAAGGAAGAGGAGCAGAGTCGATGGGGAAGCAGCCGCAAGCAGACAAGGCAGGGAGCAGAAGGACAGGGAAGAGGAGGGGAGGATGACGAGGCCGAGGGGAAACATACGCAAGCAGACAGGCCGGGCCCGGGGCCTTGAGAGAAGAGCCACCCTCGACAAATCCACAGAACCTGCAGGGGCGACCTGTGGGCGGGGTGGCCGACTGGGCGTGACACGCTGCGGCTTGGTTGGGAGTGCTCTCTGCGGGATCACCCGCCTCCCCGCCGAGGGAGCGCTGGACGGCGCGTGTGAACGGTCGCCAGCGCAGCGTGGGCGAGGAGGAGGAGGAAGAGGAGGAGGAGGAGGAGGAGGA